GATAAAAAAAGTTGAAAGTATCTATACTCTTGTGAGTATTGAAAGTGTAGCATGCGAGGTTCTCTTCACCCTGTATTTGAGGATAGAAAAAGTTGGAAGTATCTATACTCTTGTGAGTACTGAAAGTGTAGCATGCGAGGTTCTCTTCACCCTGTATTTGAGGATTAAAAAAGTTGGAAGTATCTATACTCTTGTGAGTATTGAAAGTTTAGCATGCGAGGTTCTCTTCACCCTGTATTTGAGGATTAAAAAAGTTGAATGTTTCCACACAAAACACCCACCAAATGGTTGCAAAGAGGCCTCTTACATTTTATGGAGTTGAAACAGGTCAATGCAAAAAAAAATCAACTAATTAAGAAATAAACTCCATCAAAAGAAAGAATGACAAAAAAGAAAAAAAAACGCCTTCAATCTTTGGGTTAACAGATTGGAATTAAGCTTATGCTAATTTTTTTGTGGAGGGAGAACATTAAAACCAGCAAACCCTTTAATCCTTTAATCAAGACCTAACAAACTCTTCTCACGTGCGATACCAAATCCAGGGCCCAGTTGTACGAAGAGTGGATAGTGCGTTTGGAAGGATAAATCCTTATCCAGTGGATAAGTTGATGCTGATATCCAATACATTTTTCCACTTGATAAGATATATCCGTCGGATAACACTACCCACCCTTCCTACAACAAGGCCCAGGAGTCAAACCAAAGATCCCAAAGGTGAGAGGTGAGTGCACTACCACTTCATCACCTTTGATTCCTTAACATAAAAATTGGGCAGAGATTGTATGCTCTTAATTTTAAAATAATTTTTTAGTTTGGTGAAATACAAGGGTTTTTGGATATTCATGCAATGAGCTTTTAAACAGACTGTATGGCAAGGATGCCATAATGTTTAGGCTAATCTCCACTGACCCTTCCTCTCCATTGACTGGTTTTTAATTCATAGAACCCTTACCTTGACAATAGTAAGCTGCTTCTTTGGCACTATGAAATGTCTGTTTTGTTTCTTTACACAAATACTGCAGCTAAAGAATGAAAAGACATTGTTGTCAACTGAACATGAATAGCGAAGCTCCCGTGCAGCTTTGGCCTGCATGAGTGAAGTACCATACTTAAGAAAAATTGGTAACCCATCGAGTTGATTTTCGATGGCTTGACTACAACATCACTTCTGTTTGTATATACATATTTCCATGGGTGCACCAGTAGGGATCCTGCTTGATGCCATTTTGGGGGACATTATCTTCATCTCGAATAATAAATAATGACTCTATTTTCCCCCAATCTTATTTTCACCTTTCAGTTTTATCTTAATTGGGCTCCCTGTACCCATTGGGAGCTCCACTTTTAGGAAGTGCCTAAATTTATATTACAGAGTACAACTCAACTTAGATATCTGATCTTTGCCACACTTGAATGAGATTAGCATTTAAAAGAAGAGATGTGATTGACTAAATTATACTTAATTTTCTATGTTTGTCCCCGGCTTCCCATATTTCAAGATGGCTTAATTCTGTACCAGTGAAAAAGCTTGATCAAATCTTAGGTGTGACACCCGGGGAGGGGGGGRGGGGGTACTACCACCCCAACTTGGGTAGGGGTGTGCCACCAGGACCTCAAAACCCTGACCCTATCCCAGACCTAAAATTTTGATTTTACATATCCTACCCCAGACCAAAACTAAGAATTGTATACCTTATCCCAGACTAAAAGACGGAAAATACGGCTTTACAATCGATTGCAATCAATATTTACTAACATTTTTATTGTTTTTGTGCCGGCAGAAAGCATAGACTATTCGCCAGACAAAAACGAGCAAATCGTTAACCCTATCCCAGACAAAAAGGATATCCTATCCCAGACAAAATGTCAAAAAAGGATACCCTACCCCAGACCCAAAAGCCGAAAAACCATACCCTATAGGGCGGCACATACCCGTATAGCAAATATAGGGGAGTACCCCCCCCCCCCCCGGGGTGTGACAGGGGGGTCGACCCCTCCAATACTCCCCTTGGATTTGCCCTTGCTTTACCAACGCAGGGGTGCTTTTCACCGAACGTTTATACAAGTAATTTATCTAGAAATGGTCTGTTTTAAGTACACCGTTTACTAAAGGGAAGGAGAAGGTTTTCAGGAGGATCAGAGAATGTCGTGATCAGGCACCCCAACTTTTCAAACGGTTCCGTAACCTCTAGATAAAGCATAACTGGCCTCAAACCTAGCACATCTCAACCCTAGCACATCTAAAATCCTATAATAGAGCCTATATAAGCTTAAGCTTAGTTCAAAATTAGTTAATAGACTAAAATAAGCAAAGATAAGTCTCTTGGTCTACAAACTCACTTGCAATCATACACGTGCAAACAACGAGGTGCTATCACCTCAAACCTGATACTACCACAATGACAACCACCAGTATGCTTCACCAAGTCACTAGACATGTTATTCTGTGTCTGATTTGCCGGATTTATAATAAAGTTCTTGGGGTAAAAGTCAAAGTTAAACCAAGAAGATTCACTGGAAATTCACTGGGATACCACAGGGATCCCAATGTTTGAAAAATCTTCAATGTTTGCAAGGACCTGTGGGAAGGGCTTTAATTTGACCACGCTATTTTCGATTGAGTATTATTGCTTTATTCTGCATTCATTCTAAAAGTTGGATTAACTAGTTGAGAATTACTTTCGAGAGAATGGCGCCTGGTCAAAATCATTATGAATGGGAAAGGGAAGGGGAAAAGGAGAAAAAGGAGAAATTGGAAAAATAGTAGGAAAGGTGACAAAATGTCTCATAATACATTAAGAATGAAATGATTTTTTTTAAAGTTTCAAACGGATAAAATTTATATGGCCACTTTTAACTTCATGATCTGGCTCTGCTCCGTCTGGGGAATCTTGGGCACGAGTGCGCACGTTCTTTTGTGACGTCACAGTTAATCATTCTCATTAGCGTCAAATCTGTTAGATTTACTTCAGAAGAAACACGAGATTTCCCTGTAAACTGAAACTGATATTTATTGTCGAGTCTTATCGTGATGGACATTCAAGGTGGGTTGAGAAAAGATATCGTGATTGAGAATAAGTTAGTTTTTTGTGGGAAAATTAGACTTAACTGCGCATGTCAAGACGCGGGATGACAAGGCGGCGACAACTACATATACAATGACTTTACATGCATCAAAAGTGAAAGGAAAAAGTACAGCAATGTACTCAATTCTAGTGTTAGTTATTGGCTTAGTTTATTTTGACAGAACTGCTTGTGAACCGAAATCGAAGTTGAAATAATTCAATATCACTTAACTACAAAATCGCGTTATCAAAAACCGCGCGAAAATCACGAGGAATATAATCATGGAAATATTTTGAGTTTTGGGCAAACCTTTTCACTGTAAAATTAGAACATTTTTAGTATATTGCACTATATAACGAAGCTTTAAAGTGATAAGGTGGATTAATGAAAATTGAGGGAAAACTTAATACAGAATAAAAATTTAATAATGTAATCTAGGTTTGCAGATTTTCCCAAAAGATTTGCCCTTTGAAACAAGTTCAGGCATCCCAGCCACTTTTTAGACAAATTTGATAGGAAATATAGGCTGTGCAAGTTCTAAATATAGGAAAATATAGGATTTTTTCCCAAAAATATATTCACTTTATAGGAGCTAAGATATCTTTTCGGTGGCGTAACCAGGGATCGGGAGGATGCACAGGCAATGATTTGCAGAACTAAGATGCCATGGAAAAAAAACAGAACCAAAAAAATAAAAAATAAAAATAAAAAAATATATAAAAAAAAAGGGGGGGGGGCATTTTATTTCCTTCGCCAAATATGCTAAACAGTGTAAAATAGAAATGAATCACTCAGCAGTTGTCCTATTTATAGGAAATATAGGAGGTTTTCTTTAAATATAGGCTCTTTATAGGATCCTATACAAATTATAGGAAATATAGGATATATAGGAGGTCTGGGATGCCTGCAAGTTGCGCGCGAAAACCAAACAATGTTCTTCTGCTTCAAAAGGAAGTATACTGGTATACTATAGGTTGAAATTTCATCCCAGGCTGTCTTAATTCGTTCTTTTCTTTTCCTTTTTAGGAAACGACGGTACGCCAACCCTTGGCAAAATCATTGTTCTGCTCCTTTTCTTGGACTTTATTTTTAGGTAAATTTCATAAAAGTTCAATAATTTTATCATAGTTAATTTAGGATAAAAATATTGTTGCAAATACAGAGTTTATATAATCAAATGCAATTATTAAACCAGTTTATTTTTTTATAGCTGTTTAATAGCTTTATTTATGCTTTGGAGGTTCTGGAAGAGAAAGGGGCAGAAAAAGACGAGTGAACCAGAATGTGAGCCAAACGAATGGCAAACACATGCCGGTCAAGTGTACAAGATTATCCGGCAAGATAAAACACGCGTCAGCGGACTATTGTTTGTTATCTACCAGTACGAGTGCGTAGACGATGAACGTACGTATGGAGCGACTTTAGTTCATCTTGCTGGGTTGTCAATTCAGTTAGTAGATGGTGGAGATATCAAACTGGACGGATGGGTCAACACGGAGGTTGATGAATAGGAAGCACAGAAAATGATGACATTTTGTACGGAAYTCTACAGGGATTATTACTGGCAGTTTTGCAAACAGCAAAATACTGATGTAGCGCGTCCAGTGACGATGAGTGGAGGAGATGTGAGAGCCATACTGCAGCCACGACGGCTTGCCATATGTGCTGGTCCTGTTGCTATGGATGCTGCAGCTTCTGATGTTGTCACAACAGCTCCTGAAGGTGCTGCTACTGCTAATGATGCTGATGAAACTGTTACTGAAGGCGATTCTGATGCTGCTATATATGCTACTACTACTGCTGCTACTACTGCTACCTCTGATACTACTACATATGATGCAGGTGCTGATAATGATACTGTTGCTACTACTGCCACTCCTTCTGCTTCCACCGATGCTTCTACAACTACTTCCTCTGCTGCTTCAAACACGCCACTACACATTTTACTTGGTTGCGAAAAAAGCCCTTACGTCCCATGCCTGTGGGCAACGGGTCTAGCAGTCTGTCTAATCACTAGATTAGTAAGAATATGAGAATAAACATGGCTGTGACCCGTGACCAGATCGTCCCAGTCTCGCCGGTCACGCTGACATAACTATACGCTAAAACTAGCATTTCACAAATGAATGACTGCTTTTTTATAAAACAAGTGTTTGAAAACCTTCTTAATTGCATTTATGCTTTTTTATGTACAAAGACGAATCAAAGATTAAAAATAAAAGTAGTAGCGTAACATTACGTGACAGTCGTAACATAGGTCTTAACATACGGTAGATACGTATGAGAATAGCTTGTGCTTTCCTCTTCATACGAGGCTCAAGTTGGCAGTGCGCAATCCTGCTATCAAATTCTCGGTTTCCCTTGACTCCAACAAATTTTGGATTCTAGCCGTTGTTTTTTCTGAAACAATAAAAATAGTGAGTTGACACATCCATCCGGTAACGGAGTATATTCAGGTATTCTTGAGAGGATATTGAGGGTTCATAATTTATGCGTTGAGGTGGGGGAGTGGGGGG